TAGGTGGCTGTTGTCTAGCAATGATGGGTGGATTGGAAAAAAGAGGTTCGATGTGTGAATCCTGTTTTAGAGCATTATAATCGTTCTTAAGTGTATGAGCTAGTGATTGAATTTTAGGGCCATAATCTAAAACAAACGGTATCCTATCAGAACTAGTCTTAGGTTTATAGCAAAGCAAATCATTGCGTGATCTTAATGATGCCTTAGCTATTGCAGATTTAATTAGATATAGGATAACTGCAATTTAAAAAATGAGATGTCATGTTAGGCACTTTCTTATCAAAATTTGAATGGTTAGAAGAAATACTGTATGTTATAATTAATGCGGAGACATTGGCTAAATACTATAGAGCGCTTAAGGTTGATTGGATGAAAACTACAGAAATCCAAATAATGGTGATTGTTTGTCGGCTTGCATTAAGAATATCTGCCATGGTTTTTGGGAAGAATTTGCATTTTTCTAGAGGTCAACGACCTTTGACCTTTAGATACGTCAATTTCTGCACACGCTTTAAATTTGAATGGCTGGAAAATCTACAGGCTACATGTTAATACCAACATCATGCAAATCTATCCAATAAATCATGAGTTATGAACCTAAATGTTAACCCCTACCCCAAGCATCACCATTGATTACACAAGTAAATCAAAAATGACAGTAATACATTTAATCAATTCATAAATTTTTCTTGTTAATATCATTGTTTTATATTCCATATGCTTATTTATAATAGAAAATACTAATTGGTATCAAATCTACTCACAACTGTAGATTTGTAAGCGTTTGTGAGTGAAATGGGAATAAATTTACAACTTTTCTGTGGAGGTCAATGACCTTTTGACCTCTAGCTACATCAATTTCTGCCTGTTTCAAAATTTTTTTCAATTTGAATGACAGACCAATCTATAGGCTAAATGCTGATACCAACATCATACAAATCCATTGACTAAATCAAGGGTTATGAGCATAAAAGTTACACCCTACCCCAAAAACTGTTGTTGATTACAAATTTCTCGGATCATAAACATTGACTTTTTTCTTGTTAACCTCAATTTTTGTATTCCATATGTTAATAACTACAAGAAAAACACAATTTGTATCAAATACATCCAAAATTAGACATATATGACACTGAAGTTTATTGATATTTTATGAAAAATTTGCAGTTTAGAAAAAGGTCGATGACCTTTTGACCTCTAGTGACGTTAATAATTGTCGGATTAATTTTATTTAAACTGCATATGATTAAGAAACATATATGCTACACATTGCTACCAAAATAACATTGATGGGAAAATAATATTGATGATTTTTTTAATTCACAATTCACAAGCCCCCCCCCCCAAAAAAAGTATTGACCATAAAATACTAACGACCATTACAAATGACGCGAGTACATACAATGCATCCCTATATTTTTCTTGTTAACATCAATTTTTTTGTTCTATATGCCCGTAGGAACAAAATGATACCAAGGAAGTTGCACGGTGACCCCCCTCCCCCTCCAGCCCATGGCCTATATAGCGCTTCAGAGATTATTTTCGGACGTTTAACACCGAACACTAAATTTCCCCGGACACACACACACACATGGCTTTCTTTTCGAGAGCCCATTCCCATGGCCTATTAGGCGATCAATTTATTTTTCTTTATTTTTCCCCCGGCTCCCCACACGTCCCCGGCTCCCCATTAAGTGCGCCATCACGCGATAGTAAATATCGACTTTTGATGGTGAGAAAAAAATGTGTCGTAGCTTGTTCACAACAAACACACAAAGCGAACATGACTGGAATGTTTGCTAGGCACCATGAAATTGACTCATATAAGGTGACAATTTTCGAAGTTTTATTTCTTTCTACATCATATTTGATATAATTTATGGCATAACTAATATTCTATTTTGGTAAATCATGGTTATGGGAAGTGAATTCGTAATGTAAAATGATAAAATTAGGTCATGTATGTACGTTGGCAATGTGTCGTAGTTTAGAACCGAGCAGTGAGAGAGCGAGTACACGATGAGACGAGGCAGAGGTAGGCCTAGAGTGATGGGAGGCACGCCTTCGCACAATGTACGGTCTGCAGCTAGGGAGATGGGATGTATTTAACACCCCGAAATTGGGAAATTAAACGGGTTTTGTTTGCCTTTTTATTAATATATACACTATACTTTCTTTCCGTATAAGTGGGCTTAT